AACCCTAAACCCTAAACCCTTAAAACCCTAAACCCTAAACCCTAAACGCTTAAAACCCGAAACCCTGAGCCCTATTTCTGCCCTGCGGCGGCCAGCGAGGCGAGTAGCAGGACCTTACCGAACCAGGAGGCAGCAAGTCGCGGGTCTAGAACTGCAATTGTTATAGTTATAGCAGAGTGGGCCCCAAAACACTACTCTAATTATACAAGGTCCTTATATTATAGTATTATAGTACCCTTATAGATAACTTAAGTAACATTGAAAGCTTCAAGGCCCCTACATTATAGTACCCTTACAGGTCTTACTATAACAATACCAATAATATTTTTCGGGTACCCTACTATGACCTGGCTATCATGAAGCCCAGAACCCTGGTCTAATTATCAAGGCCGCGATACTAAATCCTTATACATGCCCTTATAGTCGACCTTGTAGACCCCTTTACTACGGTTTAGGGTTTAGGGTTTAGGGTTTAAGACCTTGTAGACCCCTTTAAAGGAGCCCTATAACGAAGTTGAAGGCCCCCTACATGACAGTACCCTTATAGGATACCCAGTAGCCCAAGAATAAAAAAGGCCTCTCTTTTTGGTATTGAGTAACTTTATAAGGAACCTAGGACTACAAAAAGGGAATAAGGGTACTACTGGGCATCCTACCCTTATAGGTCTACAAGGCTCGGGTAGTTGTCTGGAGGGTTTTGTGGATATTGGAGGTCTATAGGCCCTGGCTTCAGAGGCTTTCCGGCTTCGGGCATTTAGGGGCTCAGGGCCAAAGGGTTCCGACAGTCGAAATCCGAAGCCCAAGCATCCAAAACGCCTCGGAAAGAACTCACAACCCCCAAAGCTCTAAACGCGGAAATGTCAATAATATGCGAAGCCCCAGATTCCTGGATGGATTCTGATGCCATCATTGCCAGGACCAAGACTGCGACAAAACGTGACGGCCATGACTATGAGCATGTTGGTGTTCTGGCTGCTGCGACGACTCCGCTGACTACCAATATCTTTGCTACTTCCGGCGTGAACGCCAAACCCGACAAGAAACCCCTAGCCCGACTGAGCCTAAAGTCAAACCCTAGACCCCTAAAGTCTAAACCTAAACCCCGAACCTGGCGCCTTCCACCCTGAACCCAGGGCCTCAAACAGGAAGACTTGAGTGTGAATGATGAGAGTGCCTCGGCCTGATAGACTCCCAGGCCTAGGATATAGAACCCCCGCAACAGTGCAGCATTCTTACTATTATTACTATTATTACCATTATTACGATTATTACTACTGTTATATCACCATTATTACGATTATTACTACTATTATATTACCATTATTACGATTATTACTACTATTACTATTACTACTATTATAGCTATTATCACCATTATCGTACGTACCCAGGCCTAGCTCCTAAGGCAGAGCCGGAAGCAAGAGCTGTGTCTTGAGATTCCGGTGCTACCTTAAGCCGGAATAACCTACCTTTTTAAGGACTTATATAAGGAAATCATAATAAGGAACCCCAAAAAGGTAGGTTATTCCGGCTTAAGGTATTGCGTAGGTAGCAATGAACTGCAGAGCGGGCTGCATGGAAGCAGGTGTCGTGGTAGTCCAGAGCCTTCGCCAACATGGGCAGCTGACCTCAGCTGAAGCCCTAGGACTGTTCAAAGACCCGACACCGCCTGATTCCACAAGCCTGCACTAAAACCCCAAAACCTGAGAGCAAGACTACCCTCAGCCCCCTATCGAAGACGTAGGCACCCTCTGAGGCTTCCATGCGGCGCACGTCCAGAAATATAATACTTGCAACACTGTTCACGGGCTTTGCCGGGAGCAAACGTAAGGCTTGACTGTGGTACTTGGAGGTTCAGGGGTAAGTATAAGTGGGGTTATACGTCCCCTAATATGGGTTATAAGTATAGTTACCCCACTTATAACCCTACTTATAACTACCCATAAACCCTAATCCCTAAATACCCTATAACCCTTAGATCCCTCTTCAAGAACCCTACTTATAGCTACCCATGAACCTCCAAGTAGACTGCACTACGTGACTGAGGGGCCGCTTGGATTCAGTAGATGCCAGCAGATGAGAAGCCGCTGAGCGTAACAATGCCCCCGCTAGGCACTGAACCCAACCTTCGCCCCGCTTATCCACCGAACTGCGCTCAAACCCCCATGCAGGGCTTAGGGTATGAATCGAAAAACCCCGAACAGCCTGTGTGTTGCACACTCGCCTCTTTTTCAACCTCCATTAGCGCATCTCCCCGGCGCCAAGCTGTCCGTCACTTCTCCCAGAACCGTTTGGGGTGGCGGCGACCCAGAAGCCTAAGCCCTCAACCCAAATCCTACAAGCCGAAGTTTGAACACCGTCCCTTAAGGTTACTGTAAGGGATCTATAAGGGTTCTCTAATGTAGAGGCTTAAATAATTACCAATACTATGTTGGGGGCGGTTTGGACAAAGTGAACTCAGAGAACTTTGTCTCTGGCGACGCAAGGCTGCCGACAAGCTTCAGGGACGTAAATCTGCGAACCCATAGAGCCCCAGCCCCATCAACAAGGAATGGATAGCCCGAAGAGCACAGGTGAATCTTCTATATGGTTTAAGGTAGCTTACTTACACTTACATGAGGAGTCGACGGCTCTTTGGGTAGGTCTCCGAAAGATGTACACGGAAGCACTGACAATCCTACGAGGCCCAGAGGGTTTAGGCTTCGGGGTGAAGACCTTACGGCGTTAGGGTGTCAGGGTTCAGAGTGGTCTTCGCAGCTCTTTCGGACTTGTTGCTTTAGACCCAGGCCCCTGGCACCAAGGATAGCATCCTAAACCCTCAACCCTAAAACCTCAACCCCTCACACTAACCAGACCCTGGAGTAACCACCCGAAAGCACTGCAGAAAATCAAGCCGAAACACCTGAACCTGGGACCTGGACCTTAAACACCTTGAAAGTAGATAGGGTTTAGGGTAATTAGAGCTTAGGGCTTAGAGTGTAGGGTAGTGTAGAGGCTAGAACAGGGCCTCGGGCTCCTTTATAGTACAGCCATAATAAGGAACCCTTAAGAATAATCTTGGTAATTCTTTAAGCTTCCATAGTAGACCCTCAACCCTAAACCCCTCAACCCCTAAACCCCCAAACCCCTAAACCCTGAACCCATGAGGTCCCCATATGAGGGTATCCGTCTGGGGTCGCGGAAGGGGGGGAAGGCCTTTGAGCCCTGCTTGGAGGGTCGGGGACGTAGTAACTGGCTTTTTAGGGACTTAAAAGTACCATAACCCCAATTAGGGTCCCTTTTAGGGTACTTATAAGTCTACTTGCTACCTACTTACTAAGTCCCTGAACCCTAAACCCTATAGTACCCCTATAGAGCCCTTTAAAGGAACCCTTATAATCCCCTTTTAAAGGAGCCCCTCCTTACTAAGTCCCCTAAAGACCCTCCAAGTGGGTGAAGCCTCGGCCCTGGGTCCGGACGGCCATCAAAATTTAGGGGTTTCCGAAAGAGTTTAGGGTTTAGGGTTTAGGGTTTAGGGTTTAGGGCGTCTCGCCGCGCAGCGGCAGTATTTTCTATGTAGGATGGCGCCCCAACACTCCCAGGGGTGTGGGGGGGCGGCATATCGACGTCTAGCGTTCGAATGCGATTCCACCACCAAACAATTACACATTGGTTCCTCACCTTTTCCCACCCGCTGTGAGAATACACAGGCTACCACCCAAAACATTGCCTTTTAGGGTTTAGCGCTCACGCCCTCAATTCCCACCTGCCCCTGGTCTGTCTGTTGGGGCCAGAAGCACACTGGCCAGGTAGAGAGCCAGGGGGGCCGAGGGGGTGAGGGGGGGTCCAGAGAGGGCCAGGGGCCAAGGGGGGGCGAGGGGGGGCCAGGGGGGGGCCAGGGGGGGCCAGGGGGGTCAGGTGCCAGAAAAGGCAGAAAAGACGCCAGGTCTCCCCTAGGACCCCCCAGGAGCCCCCCGGGTCCCTGGAATCTGCCAGCTCAGAGCCCCCTGGGCCGGCTTCTGGTGCCTTTTCTGAAGGGGGGCCAAAGGGAAACGCCCACCAAGGGATTTGGTCGTCGGGTTTAGGGTCTTCTAGTCTTTTGAGAATCGAGGGAATTCTTTCTGCGAATATGGGCGCCACGCAAGGGGCCTAATGGCTTGGCTCAGCCCTAGGGGCTGAATTCGACCATTCTCCAATGGCTCCACCCATTGTCCATCCAGAGTTGGTGTCAATCACTGCCGGATTTCCTTCTGGGTCCAGGCACCCTAAGAAAAAGGGTGGGTACGGCCTAAGCAGGCCTGGGTGGGAATTTAGGGTTTAGGGTTTAGGGTTTAGGGTTTAGGGGACCCTAATATAGGACCCTAAATAGTAGGATCCTTATTATAAGGACTTTCAAGTAAGGTACCCCTTATTTTCGGAAGCTCCCGTATACTAGATGGCACCCTAAGTAATAGGATCCTTATTATATGGACCCCTAAATAAGGTACTCCTAATTTCGGAAACTCCCATTTAGGGCTTTTTCTGCTTTCACCCAGCAATCCAGTCAGCCAGAATGTAGGGTTTAAGGTTTAAGGGTTAGGGGTTGGGAGTTAGGGTTTAGGGGTTAGGGTTTAGGATTTAAGGTTTAAGGTTTGGGGTTTAGGATTTAGGGGTTGGGTTTAGGATTTAGAGTTTAGGGTTTAGGATTTAGGGGGTTTAGGATTTAGGGTTCAGGGTTCAGCATTTGAGGGTTCGGATTTAGGGGTTAGGGGTTGGCCAAAAGAATTTAAGGGACTTCATACCGAGGGTTTAGGGTTTTGGGTTTGGGGTGTATATACTGTACGTAACATGAAACCGCCCAACCCTGCCTAGAGAGGTGTTATGGTCTCGCATGAAGCAAGTAGATCAACTCCACTTATGAGCGTTGTCGTCGTGGTTGTAGTAGTGGCAGTCGCGGGCGTACCCAAACCCTAAAGCCCTGAGCCATTCTGGAGCCCTTAAAGGAGCCTGTAGCGGAACCCTCGAAGACCCAACTCTGCCGCTCAGCAAAGCGCCCGCCGGCGCTGGGCACGACCCCCTCCAGCAGGCGCCAGGGGCACGGCCTCTCGGTGCGAGAGAATATTCCTGAACTAAGTCGGTCGAATGTCCTATCGAGTTTCGGATGTGCGGAGATGGAAACATCGTTGAAGTAAGGGGTTTAATCGAAAAGGCCTGAACTACGGAATGCAAGAGTTCTCATGGGGTTTGGGAGTCTCGGTTTGGGGCTTCATGGCATCAGGGGCTACGGGTTTGGGGTTTCGGGAGTAGGAATTTCCAGGTCGAGGGTGTGTAAAGATGAGCGGGTGCGGTTGCGATTGGTATCCAGTTTCAATCTCAATCCTAAACCTTGAACCCTGGAGCGTAAACCTTGGTAGCTTGCAATTTATCTGCATTCAGGACTGTATGTGCAAAGCTGCGGTTTTCTGGGTTAGGGCTGGTTTGAGTTTACGCTTACGATCCAGGGTTTAGGGCTCGGGGTGGGATGAAGATTTCGGACTGAGCGTTTGTGCATTAGGCCTGTACGGGTATGCAATCGCGAAACTCCGAACCCATCTATTTGCAGAAGGACTCTGCCTTTGAGGGGAGCAACGGCATCTGCAAATTGCGATACTAAGGCAAACCCTGAACGCTGAGCACTTATATCGACCTGCACCCTAAACCCACGATATTTTACCCTAGAGCTTCGGCTTAGAGATGCTGACTCCCTGACTGGTCGTACAAAGCGCCAGCGTTTACCACGTCAAGATTTGAACAACCACAGATCATGCGATTGCATTGGAACTGTCGTTACCGACACTGGCGGTTTCGACAACAGAAGTCATCGTGGGACTGCAGTGTCACTGACAATGGCAGCAGCAGCAGTAAGGATAGCCACGCATAACTGAAAAATAGAACATGCCTGGAACTGCAAGAATCACCAGATCTGGTCATATGGATTGGCATCATCATCAGTATTACCGTCATCACCATCAGCGTCGTAAAGACAAACTTCGACTTTGGATTGCGATCTGCGCTTCATTGACTTTTAACACCTCTCCTGAACAGCTCCAGAACATAATACTGACACCGCCCGAACAGGTAATGCTGGCATAGCACGTCCTTTGACTGGTTCAATCCAGTCCATTCTTGGACTTCACACTTACAAGACTATCTGCTTTCAGCGGCACAGAAGAGACACTCACGCGCACTTTCGTGCACGCGGAAGCACTTCAAGAGCTTGAAGACACCCTGAACCCTGACTCTGAAACTTTGATGTAGGTGCCTTAATAAATCGAATAGGGTTTAGGGGCTATATTCTGCTATAAATATAACAAGGAATACCATATTCCAATATACAAATTCTTAAGGGCCCCCATATAATAGCCCTTATAGTAGCCCTTATAGTAGCCCTTACAGACCCCTTTTAAAGGAACCCTACTCTAATTATTGAGGCCCCCGATGTTAGCCGACAGCCGAGCCCGGAGCCTGCGCGCTAGTAGCCGAGGCCGGAGCAATCTGGGAGTTTCCGAAATTAGGGGTTCCTTTTAAACGGATCTATAAAGGGTTCCTTGAAGGGATCTACAAAGGTTCTATACAGGGTTTAGGGTTTAGAGTTTCCGAACATGAGGGGTACCTGAGAGTCCCTTCAAAGGGTTACTATAAGGGTACTGTTATGAGGGTTGCTTTAGAGGGCTCTATAAGGGTCTAGAGTTTCCGAAAATTCGGGGGTACCTTGTTTTGGGGTCCTTTTGATAAGGATCCTGCTATATGGGGTGCTATATTAGGGTCCCCTGTTTTCGGAAACTCCCATCTGAATGCGTGCGGTTTTTCCTTACCTTTGGTTAGTAGGGAATGGAAGAATGGTAGTAATAGTCGTTATATAATAGTTATATAGTAGATATATAGTAGTTATATAGTAGTTATATGGTAGTAATATGGTAGTAATAGTAGTTATAATTGTATCCCATTCCTCCATTCCCTACTAACCAAAGGTAAGTTTCGGGATCTTCAAGAGTGCGAAGATTTCTGGGGTTGAAGGTTTTAGGGTTTAGGGCTTTAGGGTTGAGGGTTAAGGGCTTTAGGGTTTTAGGGCGCTGCAGGGTTTAGGGCTTTAGAGCTCTGGGGCTTTAGTTTAGGGTTTAGGGTTTGGGGTTCAGCAGCAGTCTCTAGTCGAGCTAGCGGGCTTAGATTTAGAAACAACCCACCCGCCCAAGGAATCCCATAACATTAAGACAATACAAAGTTTACCATCTTCCGTAAGCCCTAATCGAGCCTCAAACGACCTTTAAACGAAACCGAACCCTAAACGGAACCTCAACCAGAACCCGAAAAGGAACTTTAAACGAAACCCTAAACAGAATTCTACAAAGAACCCTAAACAGAGGACCAAATGGAACCTTGAAAGGAACCCTAGACGAAACCCTGAACGAAACCTTACCGACAGTGGCTGAGATTAAAATTTCTGTCCTGACAGCAACATGCCTACCCACCCGAAAGCCCTAAATCCTACACCCGAACACCCTAGATCCTGAAACCTAGAACCCCCGGAACCCTAGACAGCCCCTCACCCCTTGCACCCAAAGACCCGACTCCCAAACCCCAACCTCTGGTGACCGAGTGTCGAACCCTCCTTATACTATGACGGGCCGCGAAACCCTATTCTAATCTTTAAGGCCCCTATAATATACCATGCTTTTCAGTGGTTGTCGGAACAAGTGCAGTCGGATTCAAACTCCAGCAATCCTTCAAAAAGAGAACCCTGAAATCAACCCCTAAACGACACGAATTGCGCTGAACCCTAAGCCCTCCATCCCTATATCCTAGAACCCCCCAAACCCAAAAGAAAGCTGTCAGAATCAGAGTAGGAGGCTTGGGCTGGGGGCCCTAGGCCCAACCTCCGAGGCGCCTTGAGTGGGCGGAGGGCTCCATGCTTCGGCTATTCGTTCGAAACGACCACCTACACCCTAAACTCTAAACCCTGAACCTAAACCCTAAAAACCCTGAAAACCCTAAAAACCCTAAAAACCCTAAAAACCCTAAAAACCCCAAAAACCCTAAACCCTGTCTGGACCCTGCAGAACCCAGCTCTTTAAGGACTTATAGAATGAAATCATAGTAAGGAACCCTAAAAAGGCAGGTTCTTCAGGGTGAAACTGAAAGTAAAGCCTAAACCGGAAGAGACAGGGGCGACCTGCGTCTGGCTGATGCTTTGGCCGTAGCCAGTAACCGCCTGGCAAAGGAGCTGCTTTTGGAGCTTTGGAAAACAAGGTTTTGGGTTTAGGGCTACTTTTGGAGCAAAAAAAGGATTGCGTCTGCGATTTTACTGTGTTGGGTTCGGAGTTTATACTTCCGGGCAGAAAATTTTGCGGCTGAGGCTTCAGAGGTGAGGGTTTGGGGCTCTGCCCAAGAAGTTAGAAGGGAATGGAAGAATGGGGTATAATTATAACTACTATTACTACCATTCTTCCATTCCCTACTAACCAACGGTAAGATTTTGGAGGACCCGGAAAGCCCCAAGGTCCTCGAGTCCCGACTCCTAAGCCCCCAAAATGGGGGGGGGGGGGTCCGCAAATAGGGGACCCGAATATAGTGCCCTAAACAATTTAAAAAAAAAGCAAGATAAGGTGCCCCTAATTTTCGGAAACTCCCAAACTCCGAAACCCAAACCGTCTCCCACATGAGGTCCCCACTGAAGGAGGCGGAGGCATATCTGGCTCGGCACCACAGTCTTGGCAGTAAGGATTCGGGCATTGGGGGATGGGGTTCTTTTGTTTGCTTTTGTTGTAGGCTTCTTTTCTCATTGCTGTGACGAGTGCCAGTGCATTCAGCAGTGAAGCATTCCGCGTACAAGAGCAAGAAATGATTGACTTGCGACTGCTTCGGGCTAAGAGTTTAGGGAGTTTAGGGCACGGCAAAGCACAACTTTCCCTGATGGGAACATGACAACCGTAGCTATACACGTCTTTCCTTGTGTCTATCGGTCGGTCGGTCTGTCTGTCCGTCTGTCCGTCTATATCTATGTCCACATATGTATGTACGTATATATGTATACAGCATTAATTATGTGTGTACACACCTGCATATAGAGAGAAAGAGAGAAAGGAGCGAGAAAGATTGATAACGCATGCACACACAGATGCATACAGTATGGACACCCCGGGTCGTGCGGTATCTAAACACCTGAAAGATGGATTTCTGATCTTGAAGCGCTTTTGTCTCGCCAAGGCAATTTGAGATGAAGTGGCTATCTTAAGCCGCTTGCCCCGCCCATGGGTTGAAGAATCTCCCTTCGGCAGATGTGTGAAAAATGTGTGAAAATTTAAAAAGGAAAAACCTTTCTGCAGGGGCGCTGCGAAGGCAGGCAGCATTCTTGCTAGGGTGCAAACTTGCCTGAGCAGGGTTGGCAACAAAACCGACCTCCGTCTGTTTGTCCACCCAGCTTTGCAGACATCCAAGCCAAGCAGGGAAGCAGCATGCAGAAAGCACACCAGCACACAAGGGCAGCTAGACTGGTCGACCTCATGACAAGCGCCGTCAAATAGTTGCCTGCCACTGCCCAAAGGACCGTTACGACAGCCACTGCCACCGACTTTGACCAATCAAGTGCACGAGTGCGGCTAAGGGGAGCACCTTTGTCACTCAGGTACAACATGCCATTGAAGCCAAACCAAAGCCAACAATAGCAGTATGACGACCACGCGAAGAAAAGACGAAGATAATCCATGACTTCAGTTACACCGGCCTTTGGCAGAGAAGCCAGGATGTCCCCCATCCAGGCTGCATCGGCAGAAACAATCAAGGCTGCGTAGGCAGGATGTAGATGAGGTAACGGCAAGAGGCCCATAAGCTCCTCGCGAAGATCATTTCGAACGAATTTATGGAACGCATCCCTGTGGCCATACCACTGGTCAATGGCACTGAGAATGAAAGATCGGTCAAAGTCAGAATAACAAACTAAGTCATCAACTCGGAAGGCCTGCAAGTCAGATATCAGCCGCGCCTTGTCTCGATAACTTCGGCGCAAGGCATGCACAATAAATATGTATGGCAGCAGAAAGATTGCAACATAAAGCCACACAAAGTTTCTCTGTCGATCATCGTCATCTGCATAGATGACAACCCAGTGTTTTACCAGTGAGATGCACCATTGGCTCAGACAACAAATCGCTACAGATTGTTCAATAAACAGTGGCGCGAAGTTGAGCTCTCCTCGTGGATTCCCGTGACGAAAGCCCACCAGCTCAAATATACCTTTTCTGAAGTTGGACCCCTAGCCAAAATTACAGTTTTAGCTGTTTCTTAGAGGTTATACTCACCAAAGATTAACAATGATTTTTAAGGACCCCCAAGATACACCAGAGTGATGACAGGTAGTCTGGGGAGTACAAAATTCGAAGCTCTTTCGTCACGGAAAGGCACCCGCCAATGCCATAGATCCCACGCTCAAACAGATCATGATCTCCTTGATGAATGCACGCCACGTCTAGAAAGCACATCTTTCTTCTGCATGGGAGATATGTAGACGACCACAGCCCAACCACCAGCGAAACTTGAACAACAACAAGAAAATATGGGTTCGTTTTGCACGTCACCGTCCTGCCAGGAACTATGTAGTTTGCACTGTCAGGGTCCGGGAGAATTTCAAACTCTTGCAGAAAAAACATGGCAGTCATGCCCACAAGCCAGCCCATCAGCCCATGCAGCCAGCCCAGTTGCAATATCAAAGCCAGGACTTTCTGCCAGCCTTTCACCGACCGCCAGGTATGCGACAGAAAAACATCGTAGCCTGATACCTTCGTCGAAAGATTCCAAACTTGGGCAGCTCGGTTTCTCCGTCGGATTTCATGTGGGGATGTCCAAAGCTCCCGCTGTCGAAGTGCTCGATGAACAGGGATGGCCCGCATGATCTCAAAGTCAGACTCCATCTGCCGTTGGTCTCTCAGCCTTATCTGGGCAGCGCTCATACCACTCGGCTCCTCCTGCAACTCTTCCGGCAGGTCAGAAGGCTTACGAGAGGAAAGCCTGTCCTGGACATTGGTCGTATCGCCTGGTTCGGTGTCATGGGTGTCTGCTGGGAAACTTGGCTCAGACGCGTGTATGACTTCCGTAGGGGCACCCCCTCCACCCTCCTGGCAGCAGCTTTGTTGGCCGAGGCTCCCGCACACATGAAACGAAGCGTGCATCCCGGCAGCAAGATAATTTGACTGAACATCTAGAATCTTTGTAGAGCCGCAGGCAGTGCACTGCGATTTTGGTCTTGCACGATTCACACTGGTGCTGCTATGTGCGACCGGGAATGTGAAAGGGTACCTACCTTTCCTTGAGAGAAGGCAGAACCTGACAGAGACATGATTGCAATGGCACCACCTGATTCTCAGTGGATCCCCTTGTCAACCCCATTCTCACACAGATGGTCACCTCGGATCGGGTGCACAAGTACTTGGAATCGGATCTGCAACAGCAGTAACCTACCATGAACTGCTCCTTTGTCAAGCCTGCATCTCTGCATCACGAGCCGACGGTCCTCAACGTGGACAACAGTCTTGCGCAGAAGAAGCGGTCTGAGACGCAGACCGAGCGCGGAGCAGCATTCCTTTGTTCCGAGATGCATCGATTCTGTGAAGCTTGGGTGGGACAAACCTGCACCTTGAACTCTGAACCCAAAAACATCTCCAATCATCCGAGACGTGTCGCGATTGATGGTATGATATTGAACATGTCAGTGAAACCAAAGTGCGGTGTTCATTCCGCGACTCCTGTGAAGCATGAAAGCCGGGTATGATCATGATGAAGACTCTTCCCTAGGATTCAGAAACAGCTGCACCCAACACCACCACACGGCAACAACATGACAGAACCCTAATATAGGGGCCTTAATGATTCGAATAAGGGTTTGGGGGCCCATGACAAAATAAATATAACAAGGAACCCCACAACAGTATGGGTAATTCTTTAAGCCTATATACTAAACTTGGGGCAGCCCTGTAGGATGCAGCCAAGCTCAAGCCCCGCAGGCCTTACAGCCAAAACAAAGCGCTAAGCCCCTGAACTAGGATGCCCAGTAACCTAGGCATAAACAGGGGCTTCCTTTTGGCATTGGGTACCTTAATAAGGAACCTAGGACTACAAAAAGTGAATAAGGGTACTACTGGGAATCCTGCTAAACTGAAACCTGATACCTCAGATAAGGAGGATGCGGGCTTGACCAGGAGCTTTTTATGAGGGGGGGCTTAACAAGTAGAATAGGGTTCCTTGAAAGGGGGCCTCTAAGGGCTACTATAAGTCATCTATAAGGCTACTATAATACTATGCTTTAGCGGCCTTATATAAGTGGAATAGTGCTTTGGGGTCCACTCTACTATAACTATAATAGGAAACCCCCAAAAGAGTGTAGGCAACTGTTTAGGGTCCTACATTAGCCCCCCAAACCCACTGCCATCCGAGGCCAAAGTTCCCAATGCCGGCGCCGCGCCGCTCCGCCTGCCGCTGAGTGGGCTGCGGCGCTTCCGCTCATCGGGCGCCAGACGTCGAAGATGAGCGGGTGGGACACCGCCTCGGTTCTCCGGGCCAAATACAACCTATATTACATGCAATTTAGATTATGTGTCGCTAAAAACTATCTATCACCTACTGTCCATGTATAAGGTCGCCGGATCCAGCATTTCGTTTTTCGGTAACGGGATTCACGGGGTTCTTGCCGTCATGGCCCGCAGCCCCATGTTTCACGAATCCCTGATCCTGAAGCACTTGAACCTAAAGCTCCGTCCGGAACCGTCCTGCAACCCCAAACTCCGATCCATGGCCGCCACCCCTCAAAACTCTAATTTCAAAACCAATCCCTCAGACCACAAACAGAATCCCAAATTCCCAATCCTACGGTCCTGAATCGCCAAACACTAGCAAAGCCGGCCCCTTGATGCACAAAAACGACTCCTCGAACCGATACCTACGCTTTATAGCCGAAATTTTACCCCGCTGAAATCCGCTGAACCCTCATCTAACCCGTCCCGCACGGGGCCTGGTGCGAGTTCACCGCCCGCCTCTCGAGGGCTCGAGGCTCGCGCATGAGTAGGGTTTAGGGTTTAGGGTTCAGGGTTTCGGGTTTGTCTTGGCGATTGTGTCGCAGGCCGCTGAAAACAAGTGGTCCTCCATTGAGGAATTCATCATACCCAGAAACACGAAGGGCAAACGTTTAACTTGAAAATGTACTGAAACCCTGAAACTTAAACCCCCAAACCCCCAAACCCGACGCAGCGTGCTTTGCAAGGGCCTCCTATTTTGGATGTATCCAAGCAAATTCCGACGACTTGACGCACTGCAACCACGCTGACACCGATGACTTCGACTACTGCTAGCACGACGAGTGAGTACAAGGACCCACCCCCCCGTTCAACGAAGGGCGGTGGTTAACATTGCATACGACCAACCTAGCATCCACGCCGGCCAGGAGCCAAACAGCACCGTAGCGGCACGACTGATCTGAAACTGAAGAAGGCCGGGCCTCATGGGGGCTGGTGGTGGTAAAACCCTAAATCTCAATGTCAAGTCCTACATCTCTGAAAAGGGCACAAAGTCTCCGCCTGATTTCCTCCGAGAGTTGCTGCATGTTTGACACCGGATGGCCGTTCACTTGCAGGATGTGGTCGCCCACCTGCAGCTGAAGCTCTGCGCAATCAGAGTCTGAAACAGGAAACTATCAGCCCCCCTTCGCCCATCATCCAGGGCCTTCTTTGACCTTGAGACCAGGCATGCACTGCCGCAGATCCCAACCCAGCGTCTTGAGGCGGTAGGAATATTTTTAGCGAACCCTGGGTAGGAGGCGACCTCATGAGGGCGTCGGGCTTGGAAGTAAATTTCAAGCAAAACCGCTGACCTCTAAAACCCAAAAGAGAACCCCGGTTTGGCTGTCGGGTCTACGCTGTCATCATGGAGAATCGCTCCGAGAAGAGAGGAAAGGGCAATGCCACAGCGCACGGCAAAAAAGGTTTATTGAAGGACTTGGGGGCTGTTGAAACTTGTCACGGATCAGTTGCACAGCATCCTCTGCAGCATCCGACAGGACAATGTGTCATCTGAAAGGTCCTGCGCCGCCCGTGTGCAGAGGGCCCTTCATCGAGACCCCACATGCCGTAGCCCCTTTTTCGACCACAAGCGCTCCTTAGAAACCTGAGCCGATACCTGTTGAAGTACCGCAGGCACTGAGGTCAAGACGAAGGCTTTTAGGTGTCGCGAACTCTCCACAACCCTAACCGTAACCCAAGAATTCGGCACTGAAAGCCCGAAAAAACACGCAAACACGAAGAACTCAACCCACAACCCAAAGCTCTGATGCTCTGGACCTCAAAAGCCACCGATCCCACATCCTGCCTGCAAACCCCAAGACTCCAAGCCTTCAGCGCAAGCTCTGATCCTTTACTTCGCACGCCTGCCAGCCCCACTGCGCCGCGACAGGGTTGCTGATGCTCGACACCCAGCAGTTCTGTATGATCAGGCCCAACCTCTGTTTAGGAGGGATTTCAGAATTGAGGCTTAGGGCCTCCACAGGCATGCACATTACAGGGGTTCCGGGGTTTAGAGTTCAAATTCAATTGTTTGGGGGCTTTGGTTCGACTTAGGTTTAGGCCGTAGCGCTTTGGCTCGGGATTAGCGGCAAGGTTTGCGGATTAGGCCCCGGGCTACGAGGGCAACAAGGAGACAGTTGTCCAGCTCTCCAAGATAGACAAGATCTAAACAAGTTCAGGTGATGAGCACTGGTTCTAAACCCTAAACCCTAAACCTGAGCCTCGAAACCCGAAACCCGTGTCGACTGCCAACGAGTCTGACGCAACCATCCTCCTGCTCTGTCGAACGCTCCCATCTCCCTCATCTCAGTACGCAACTACGACGGGTACATCACACGTGCTGCTGGCAACGGTTTAGGGTTTAGGGTTCAGGGTTAATGGCCGTCCCTACTTCCACTGAAACGCTCGCACTCTTTGCCCCTATAAGGATCTGAATTTGTGCTGACAGAGCTCCCTTACTGTGCTAGTTACAGCGTTCCCTTTTGAAAGTCCTCATCTATACGCTCCGACACCCTCGTCCCTAAATCCTAAAACCTGAACCCTAAACCCTAAAGCCCGTAACCCTAAACCCCAAACCCTAGCCGCTGGGTGGGACCCGACCTGCCATCGTCCATGAGCTTGGGGACGGAGATGCGGGCGTGGCTTCCCGGTCCCTGACTTTGGAACTGGCACTATGGGTGCCCTGAATAACTAGACTAGGCTTCTGGAGAAAATTCTGCAGATTTGTGTTATGGGCTGCAAGAGAATTGGTATGAGATCCACACCAGTCTTTTGGAGTGAAGTGTTCTTGAATAAAACCCTGATTGTCACCTGCTTGCTTCCAACGCAGGGCACAGGCACATGTCGTCGGACGCTGACAATGGCACGACTCGGGATGTGGTATGTCTTATCTCATGTTCACTTCTTGTTGCCTGTCTGGCTGCTATACTTGTCGGCAAGTAGTAGCAGGAGTAACAGTAGTACGAGTAGTACTAGTAGCAGCAGAGTACTAGTAGAACTAGTATTGGTAGTAGTTGTCGTGGCCTGGGGAGTTGGAGTAACAGAAGGTGTAAAACAACGTAGAGATTACCTTCTACTATATATAGATATATAGTCATATACATATGTGTCCGTTCATACATGTGTTGTCTATGTGCATATTACATGGTCTTTTTGGTTTGCTGACGTATCTCTTTCAATTCCGACACATTTACGACAGCCGTGACAACAACATAAGAGGAAATACATACATACATAGATAACTGACTACTAACTCCATGTCACCCGACACACCAGAAAACGAAAACGAAACTGAACATGCGATCGCAGCCCAACAAACAACCAAAAAACGGGCCGCAAGCTGCAAACAACCGAAAGAAAAGCAGAGCCCTCGGCCTGTGAGGGCAAAAGGGGCGCCGCCGAAGCTTGTGAAGAGAAGGAGTTGGGCGGCGAGCTTTGCAATCCCTTGGATCTAAGGCTGTTACGGGTGCAAGGGTTCCTTTTTGGGATTACCTTATAGGATTCTAATCATGAACCACAAAAAGGAACTACCATGGGGCCCCAGGGTAAGGGTGTATGCTTTAGTAGACATGGCTTGGGGCTTCTTCTCAAAGGGACTGTGGGGCCTGGGCTTGGGTTGTAGACTTTGGGGCTTGGGGCCTGGCAGTTCAGGGCTTCGGGGCTTCAGGGCTCAAGCCCTCTGAAGGCTCACGGAGTAGAAGCTTCATGACTTGACGGATTTGGGGGTTGAAAATTCGAGGTCTCAGAAAGGCTTAAGCTGTGAGGGTTTAGCCACCCTAAACCCTAAACCTCTAAACCGTCGGTTTAGGTCATAGGGGCTCATGACTGCTGAAAATAGTTCTGAATTAAAAAGAATTAAAAGCACAAAGGAAAATGATTTATGATTGTTACATTTTAAAAAACAATTCTAGATGTATATGTAATTTCCTATATAATACTCCGCCACATCAAATTTGACCTCAGTAGATAATACGGAGTGTGGGGGTCTTGCGGGGGCAGGGTCTTTGGCTCCGAGCATCTGTTCCCAAAGCTTCAGTCTCACGCAACATAAGAGCATTAACAAGGGGTTTGGGGAAGACAATGTTGGGTTTAGGAGAAAAACTCTAGAGTGTAGGGTTTAAAGTGTTGCAACTCGCCATTGCTCGTTACTCAGACCTTATTTCGGCATAGATGCTATAATCTTGTCACTAAGTGCCAGCGCGCAGACCAGCAAATCCTGGCAATGCTGCAAGCATTCACTGCATCCTGAACCCTTAACCTCCCGAAGGAGATCACTATCCAACACTGGCGCGGAGGAAGCCAACAGCCCGGTTGGCGTCATCCGAAACCTCCCGTTCCGGCAGCCCCGACAACTTCGTCGTACTGCAAGCACATTACTTGGAGCTTCATGGGTAGTTATAAGTGGGGTTTTAAGTACCCTAATAAAGTACCCTAGTATGGGTTATGAGTATAGTTACCTTACTTATAATCCGTTACTTATAACTACCCATGAACCTCCAAGTGAGGAACCCTGTTTAAGCCCTGTGTTGATTCAGCACAGCCACCGCGCTACTTGGTGGCGCCATCACCGAAGCCAGCGCCGGCGCCGAGGCCGGGGTCGCTGGGGGCGCGGAGGCGCCTACCGGAGGAAGGCTGCGATGCTCCTGGCCCAGAGAGCCAAATACCCCTTAATTGAGGAACATCGCTTAAATCATAATATGAAAACCTATATAACTTAAGCCATATTCCTTAATTAAGGAATATCGCTTAAATCATAATATGAAGCCCTAGATAATTTAAGCCATACTCCTTAATTAAGGGGTATTGGGCTCTCTGAGAAGGTGGGGAAAGCCGGTCACAGGGCCTTGCAGCTGCTGCGCTTTGGCCCTGGCGGATTAAAGTTTGAAGTCCTTTCCAGCCCCCGGAATTTCGGGAAAACAGAGTGACAAAGTCCGGTCACAGGGTTTGGAAGATGAATGTTGGGTGATGCATCGAGGTTGGATGGGAGAAGCTGCCACGAGTTCGAACTCTTCCTGTCAACGGAGCTAATGAAATGCACGAACGGGAACGCTCAATCTGAAGTCCTCCACTGCCCATAAGAACCCTGAACCCTAAACCCCCACGCCCGGAGCGCCGAAGCTCCAATGCCCAAAACACGAAGCCCTGAACCCTAAACCCGTACCCTTATCCCTAAACCCTAAACCCTAAACTCTAACCCTAAACCCGTACCCTAATCCCTAAACCCTAAACTCTAACCCTAAACCCTAAACCCGTACCCTGATCCCTAAACCCTCGAAACCCACAAGACTCCTCCGGATGAAGCTCCCAGCCTCGGGAATCCGGCAGGGGCGTTGCAGGGTTTAGGGGTTTAGGGGTTTAAGGGGTTTGGGGTTTGGGGGTTTAGGGGTTTTGGGGTTTAGGGGTTAAGGGTTTAGGGGTTTAGGGGTTTGGGGTTTAGGGTTTAGGGGTTTAGGGGTTTAGGGTTTAGGGCTTAGCGGCTTAGGGTGTAGGGTTAGGGTTGTTAAGGTTTGCAGGATTCAAAGGCGCAGGCAGGTGGTTTTAGGCTGTTTGGGTTTCGGGATTTCAGGTCAAAGCTGAAGAGTTTCGGGTTCGCCAAACCTGCAATACACAAATCCTCGCAAAGCCGTAAACAAATCCTTGAAATTGTAACAAGGTCCTCAGACAAATCTTACCTTAGATACAGAAGAACCACTGGGGAACCGCTCCCCAAGAAGGGTGGAATCTAACGCAAACGCTAAATCCCAAACCCTACATTCCTAAACCCTTAAAGCCTAAACCTAAATCCCAAACCCTGGATCCCTCAACCCTTCAAGCCTAAACCCTAAATCTCAAGCCCTAAATCCCCAAACTCAACAATGTGCTGAGAACCCCGTGTCCCACACTGCTCCCAAATCTCTCAAGTTTGGGCTTCGAGGCTTGCGGGGGTGTTTGGGATGTATGGTTTAGGGTTTGGGGTTTGGGGTTCAGGGTTTTTTTGCAGCGCAAAACCCTTCACGCCCTCAGTCTCCCAACGCATCCTGGTAGACTTCCCTCACTTTCGCTCGCCGTCCCTACCATCTGACCCATCGCGACAGAGGTGCCCCGGGCTTTGGGTGCAGCTTCAAAAACGTGTGGCCCTACCCTAAACACCACGCCCTGAAATAAGCCCGAAACCTTCCGCCTTAAATTCCCTACCCAACAGCCCAAAATCCAAAACCCTGAAAGCAACCAAAAAAAGACAACGAAACACCTCATAGACCTGCAGAAACGAAACAAAGCACCCCCAAACCCCCAAAACCTCCGCCACCCGGGACTCCGACGACGACCGATGGACTCGAGGTGGCTTGGCCCACCGGAGGCCGGCGCGGAGAAGGCGGAGGGTGAGAAGCCACCACGGTCTGACCAAGGGAGCCCCAAGATTCCAAATGGGAGGCTCTAAGGTTGAATCTCTAGTAGGGTTTTTAGGGTTTACAATTTAGGGTTTAGGGCTTTAAGCATACTTGGAGGTTCATGGGTAGTTATAAGTAGGGTTATAAGTAGGGTAACTAGACTTATAACCCAAATTAGGAGCCTGATAATCCCACTTAGAACTACCCCTGAACCTCCAAGTACCTCCTTGAAGGTCAGTGAAGCTCCGTTCTTTACTGGATTTGAGGGATACTGGGCTCTCAGACGCTCTTGGGTGTTGGGTTTCAGGTTCGGTTACCCTAAACCCGGCACCCATCTCTCAAGTACGAGCCGGACAGATCTAAGTTACTGCCTAGAGGCTGTAAGCTATAAAGACCAAAATAAAAGCAAGGCTTCGTCAATGCAGGAGTGGTGATACTGGTTTTCGCAGCAAGCCTTAAACTGCCTGCAGCCAAGACTCAACATGACAAAATCAACTGCCGCCAGAAAAACAAAAAAAAAAACATACAACCCCAACCCCCCCTACGACCCCAAACCCTAAACCCTAAACTCCTAACACTCAACCCTACACCCCTAAAAACCCAACAAAACCCCTACTAAACCCCCCTGGACCCTAAACCCTAAACCCTCAATAAACCCGAAACCCTACTAAACCCCTGAAATCCCTAAACCAAACCCCCCCCGCTTCCCCTTCCCCCTCGCTCAACAGAACATCGGCCTTGTCCGAAGGTTGGTGCCGAGCCCGCGCCCAGCACTCCCGAGCCCAAGCTCCAGGAAGTGAGGTTGGCCATGCTTGGAGGTTCAGAGTGAGCAGTAAGGGTTCCATTAAGGGTCCCTTTAAAGGGTTCTCTAGGGATTTAGGGTTTAGGATTTCGGGTACATATAAGTGTGGTTTTTAGTCCCCTACTATGGGTCATAAGTATGGTTACCCTACTTATAACTAGCCATGAAGCTCCAAGTGGGCTCAGAGGAGGTTTCTGAAGAGCTCTTTGTAGAATACAGTGTCTTGTAGGTATACTAGAGTATACTTCTAGTATACTTCTAGTATACTGCAGCATAGTAGTGTGAAATATGGCATGTAGTAGCATACTACATACAACACACCACATTGCATCTTACAGTACATTAAAGTATCATCTACCGTATTGTACTGTAGGGTTGTACAGAAATGTTAAACAATGTTCTATCGCAGAGGTCTCCAGGTGTGGGACCTACGTCGTGGGATGTAATGTGAGAGTGATGCAGTGTTGATGATGCCAGCTACTGTATCTTGTCATTAGTGCCCGTCACCTACTAAAGTTACTAAAGCTTTCTTAGCCACATCCAAAGAGAAAGCTACGCCATCATCGTCTTGGACCAACTCAGGCTGCAGTGGCAGTGCGGCTGTCCACATTACAAGCTTCAGGGCACGCAGGTGCATTGTCCAAAGTACAAGAAAGGGAACACCAATAGTAGCAGACAACGCAGAACTGAACAGCCAGAATACCAGAGCTTGACCTTCACGCCTTTGGCAGAAAAAAACTGCGGACGTCGGAAACACACGACCGTCCTAGTGCCATTGAGTGTAGACGAAGGCTTCCCTCGGGGCCGCCACATGTCACCCAAACCCTAAACCCTAAACCCTAAACCCAAACCCCCAGAGAAAAAAACCCAGAACTGGCCGGCATTCACGACAAGATTTTCGGGAACGAAAGGATGCTCATCCGCACGAAACACACTTCCGGAAACCACAACCTAGGACGCAGAACTCCTCAGTCTGTCATGTAGTGAATAACGTGTTATGCTGATAGTAGATAACTCTTCAGTATGTAATGTAGTCTATAACGTTCTATGCTGATAGTAGCACTTCGTGCTGAGGGAGCCCCTTGTGTGCGGAGACCCGAAAAATGCACAAAGCCCCAACCAGGGCCGGCACCCTGCATTCCCCGAAGGGATGCTTCGGGAATGCCTTGAAGGACCTTCGTGGGCTGAGGAGGCTCGGGGATGTAGGACTTTCCGAAAATAAGGGGTACCTTTAAAGGGATCCTATAAGGGTTCCATTAAGGGTTTAGGGGGTTTAGGGTATGGGAGTTTCCGAAAATGAGGGGTACCCCTGATGTTAGGGTCCTTATGATAAGGATCCTACTATCTGGGGTACTATGTTAGGGTCCCCTATTTTCGGAAACCCCCATGTAGGGCCCTGTAGAGCTGAGGGTTGGGGGAGCCAGGGAGGCCGGTCCCCCCAGGCAAACTCCGGCTATCCGTTGGGAAGGCCATGTAATCATAGGGACCCTTAGGCGGGGGTAGGGAGGAGAAACAGCTATCTTCGCCGCAAGGGGATCTTCCCAAGAGGATGTAGAGTTTCAGCTCTGGGCGTCTAAAGCTTTACGTGACGGCGCCGGACGAAGATCGCCTGTGCCAATCATCTGTCGGATGGCTTGCGGCAGTTCAGGGGCGATTTTGCCGTTTAGCTTTGTCGTCTCTCCCTAGCCCTGGCCGTCCCGCTTCGACGCAAGCTCGAATCTGCATGAGACAACCCTAAACCCTAAACTGTATACCCTGAACCCTAAGGGTTGTGGGTTTCGGGCTCAGGGAGGGCTCTTTAAAGCAGTGGCCGCAAGGGACGCGAACATCAAGATCTGTCAGCTCGGGCAGCGCAAGTTTGCATCGAAGACAAAGCTTTGTAGGCTGTACCCTCAGGCCCCATACTGTTGATGGACAAAATCCTGCATTACCCATTATAAGGAATATACCATAGTTCCCATATTTTAGAGTCCTTACGGTCATGCAGGATTTTGTCCATCAACAGTAGTAGTTCCTTTTTTGGGGTTCATGTTTAGAACCCTATGAGGTAACCCCAACAAGGAACTACTATGGGGCCTCTGGGTAGTATAGCTATTAGAGTAGGGCTTCGGTATATCATAGCCTCCCAAGCCTTGACGTATAAACGAAATTCCGCATCAACAGCAGCAAAGACCTGCAGCTCAATGCATAGCGGTTTGCACAATCATGCACAAACCTTGGCCAGCCAATTGACATGTGGGTATCCTAAACAATAGGCGCAGTGTTATAATCGGCACCCAAAAAGAGACCCTAGCTTTGACAACCACCCATGTGCTACTTGCAAACCGAGGTTGGGTTCACAGCCTAATCCGACAAAATCGGCTTTCAGAACCCCGTGGACTAGGCTTCGGATTCATGTTGCCCGCACGAAAATCAGACCCTCAACTCCTAAAGCCTGCAAAGACTCGGAGAATCAAAACTGCTCCACCCTTACATAGATTATATACTTAACAGAATACACTGAATCTCGAGAAACCCCTAACCTCACGCCCCCAACCGAAAAATCGTAGACCCTCAGCCCTACGCCCCAGGGCTAAACCCTAGACCCTAAACCCCTGAGCCCCCAAACCACGAAGCCCCTGAACCGAGCTGTCGGCCGAAGGTAGGTCAGCGAGGTGGCCTTCGTGGAGGCTGAGGCTCACAGCGCTCCAATTCAGGAGGTCTTCCTGACGCGACTCTTGGGCTGCCTTAACCCGGTTTAGGGTTTAGGGTTTAGGGTTTAGGGTTTAGGGTTTAGGGTTTAGGGTTTAGGGTTTAGGGTGCTCCCTTAACCCCAAATAACCTACCTTGTTCAGGACTTATATAAAGACATAGTACTAGGGAGCCCTAAAAAGGTGAGTTCTTCAGGGTCCAGGTAGAGCTTGGGACTTCGGGCTAAGCTTTGGCAGTTTTGGGCTGGTGTAGGGTTGAAATATGCCAGTGGAGTTGCAGAAACCTGTATTTCCGGAACCCTAAACCCTAAACCCTAAAACCCTAAAACCCTAAACCCTAAACCCTGGAACCCCGAAGCTGGGACTTGGCCCAGATTCGCTTCTGACGCCGACTACAATCCCGGAACACGAAGCCCCTGTATGAATTCTAGGGCCTAGGATCATCCGCAGAAGTAGGAGCTTCATTAAGACAGCCACGAAAAGGGTTTTCGATCTGAGATGAGCCTATGATTCCCTTGATGTGCACCCAGGGAAGCTGCGTGCGGTCGCCGCGATAGTGACTCGTAGCCGTAGCCATGTTCCCACGGTTTGCATGTATAGTTCACGTTATGGTGGAGGGTCTTTTGGAGGAGGCTTCGGCGGCTGCCTAAGCCCTACACAAGCCCTAAACCCTTAATTTTTTGGTGCGCCAGGGGCACAACGCTGTTCAGTCTCTGTGGTCTTGCAACCCCTCGCCGTAAATTCTCAATGTGGGGCACAACACCAACAGTCGACAGGGAATCGAAGAGGAGACGACTGCTTGATACTCAGACTGCTGTATTCAAAAGCCATGCGACCCACGGCAGCTCCAAGCGATTGGAAATCCTTGGGGTTTTCCCAGGCTCGGAAGCTTCAGTGTTCAGGGGTCTGTGGCTTTTAGGGTTTAGGGTTCAGGGTTTAGTTTAGGGTTCAGTCTTCAGGTGCAAGTGGTTGGTTACAGGGCTAACGCTCGAAGCTTGAGGGCTTCTGCAGTGTTGGGTTTGCTGGTGTGCTGCGCTTCGGCGTAGGGCTTTCGGGGAACGGGATTTGGACGGCTGGACTGAGGTTCACACCTACGGTTGTTCACATCCATTTCCGAAAACACATTGCGAAATCCCCTCGCCAACTCCGAAATAGTCTTGTAGCCTGCTTGAACCCTGTACCCATTATGTAGCGGCCTTTGTGATTGGACTGGGGTTCTGGTGGTTAGACTCGACCCTAAACAAAACAACTTTAGAAGGACTACAAGAGAATTCAATTACTCAATATTCGTACCCCAAACCCCAAACACTAAGCCAGTCCTCTGACCGAGACACACTACAGGCACGCAGCCCTTCATGACCTCGCACGCAGGCTTCACAGTATTTGGCTGTGGGTCCTGATAAACTAAACCAGGACGTGTACTGTAGCGGCCTGCATAATTAGGATTGTGTTTTGGGGTGGATCATAGTTTGCGGTATATGGTAGATTTCAGAAAGTTTGAGCATGGATTGAGGATGATTCGCAATTGGATTCTCTATACTTTACCTCAAGGGCACAGGGATACTCATGGTCCAACTTTCCGCCTCCTACTGCAACTGGATATGTGGGTACAAAACGCTACAGACTTCTATAGTACGCACACACATGGTACGGCATGTACAGATAAATGCATCCCGTGTGTCAAGACTCTTGTACTCAGTGTCAAAACGACGGCCGACTAGAAGCGCAGCATCCACATGGAAAGAAGCGGCAAAAACCCTCAGCAAGGGCTTGCGAAAGAGGACACATCAGAGACTCCCTCGCACAGCTATCGATCTCTAACCCATCACCCAGACCCTCAACCCTAAATCTCAACCCCGGAACGATCCAGAATCGCAAACCAAAGTCCAAGGCGCCAAAGGCTCAAAGCCAAGATAGGTCCCCAGAGTATAGAACCCTAAACTCCAAACCCCTAAACCCTAAACCCTAACCCCCTAAACCCTAAACCCCCTAAAGTTCCACCCCGTGGCTACGGCGGGAAGGCGCTGCGTGGATGGCCAATGACCGTCGAGAACCTCCGGGCCAAGGCCCAAGGGTTCTAAGGGATTTTCAGCCAAGTCTTTAGGGGTTTAGGGTTTAGGGGTTTAGGGGTTTAGGGGTTTAGGGCTTTCGGGTTTAGTAAATTTAGGGTTTAGGGGTTTAGGGGTCTAGGGGTCTAGGGGTTTAGGGTTTAGGGGTTTAGGGTTTAGGGTTTAGGGGTTTAGGGGTTTAGGGTTTAGGAGTTTAGAAGTTTAGGGTTTAGGGGTTTAGGGTTTAAGGTTTAGTCTTTAGGGGTTTAG